CCCCAAAACCCCAAAACCCCAAAACCCCAAAACCCCAAAACCCCATTTATTTTAATTCTTATAGAATAAATAAAATGGCTTCGTTCATGAACTCAGAAAGAGATAGAGGTGGAAGCATGCTTCCTGATATTAATAAAGGTAGTGGAAGAGGAATGGGGAATGAGATAGGAGTCCCCGTTAAGAGGATACTTAAGCATCAGAGAATGTATTCGGTAGTGAGTAATCCGCAGAATGCTATGGGGAATATGATCTTGAGAGAGAAGTTTAAACTCCCAGATCCGAATAAAGGTAAAATTCCGAGGCAGATAGGAGGAATTTCAAGTACTATTAATGCCAAACCTGCGGGTAAAGTATCTCGTTCGAAGAAAATTCTGCCTAAATTTATTAGAGATGATCCTGCTGCGGATGGCCCGAAGATTACTGAGGATGATCTTCGAGATGGAATGATGAGTTTACTGAACAGAGGTATGATTCCTAAAGGTGTTGATGTTACTCCTGCTTTTGAAAGAGGTAAAGCCCCATTTGGATTAACCCAAGCTAAAATTCACAGCTTTTCTCATAAAACACTTCGGAAACCGAAGACACCATCAATAGCATACAAAAGGCCGGGAACAGCAGACAGGGGTGAGATTGGACCAGCAACCTTTATTACTGCTGGTGGGGACTTCGAAAATTCATATTTGAATAATATTCATAAATCCGATGATAACTTATTCACCAATAACCAATATGCAAGAGAAGAAACAAAAGAGGATGTCCTTGAAAATATTTCACCAGATAATGAAGATATGGATGATGTTCGGGAAGACCAAATTGATATTAGAGAACAAGAAGAGGATTACCAGCTAGATGTCAAAGATAACCAGAGTATAGAAGGCGAAGAACTCTACTCTATGTATCAAATAAGTATAAAAGGAGGAAAAGTAGTAGAAACTTCTCCTGAGTACATGAGCTTTAAGAGAGCTAATGCTACTAAATGGGGAGCTGTTTCACTCGTTTTGTATCTCCTTGAAAAACTGCTTAACTTATATAATGTCCCATATGCTACAATTGACTGTCATAAATTAGTCAGGCTAGCTGAAGAGGAGCTGACTCGTCCTAATCACGAAGAGCTTTTAGAGTGTTGTATAAATAAGCCCCAAGTAGAAGAAATTATTAATAATCCTTTAAAGAAATTTAAAGGGCCTAGCGGTCCTGATTTAGCTGCTATTTGAATTCAAAAGAATTGGAGGAGATTTAAAGCTTACACAGCCTTCACATTGCTAAAATATTCAATGTCAAAAGCAACAATTATTCAGCGGAGATGGAGACTTTACCAGTTAATGAAAAATACCAAGGCCAAAATTAAGCAATTCAACGAAGAAAGCATCAATGAATGGAAGATAATGATGAAAGAGTTCAGAAGAAGATGGCCTGACGTAAAGAAAAAGCGAAGGGTTGAAATTCATATCAACTCTTTCTCGTTCTCGGAAGAGAAAAGACTCTCAATGGAGAAATTCCAGCAGAGAGAGAACTCTCAGATCTCAAGAATATTTAGTGTCAAAGACCCTAAAGTTGATGTGATTTATGTAGCCCCTTTCACATTAACCAATGAAGTCTATGAATATTACAAAAAGATACTGGAATTAGGTGAGCTAGAAAAACCAGAGAACCGGTTTCATATTGTCGTACCTGAAAATTATGTTAAATTCAAAGAAACAATGTCATTGACACAAACTTTAATTTACTCTCCGAAGGCGATTAAGAGAATCAAGACTCTAATTGAGGAGAGACAAGCATATATAGTACCAGGGATATCAACGAAGGAAGATGTGAAGTTATCAATAAACCTTGGCATCCCCATCATGTGCGGTGATCCGTCCAAGGTTTCAATGTATTCCACAAAATCAGGTGCTAAAAGGATCTTTCAACAAGCTGACGTCCCTAGCCCAATCTCTGCATACGATATCTATGATAAAAGAGAGTTTGAGGTATCTCTTTGCAAACTCATTGCTCATAATTTATACGTCAATACATGGATCTTCAAGATTGACGACGAGTTTAATGGTAGAGGTCATGCTGCCCTAAATGTGGACTCAATTTAAGACAGTCATTGAACTGAGGAAGAGAAAGTTTGAAATAACCGATAATATCATTGAGAATAAACTGGTAGAAGTAATTTCAAAACTTCTCCCAAAGAAAGTCAAAATTGCAATGCCATCACTCTACAGAAACTGGGATGAATACATTGAAGCATTTTGTCATGTAGGTGGAGTTATAGAAGCAGCCCCATCTTGTAATTCAAAGCAAGTTGTCAGTCCTTCAGTATCATTCTTTGTTGCTCCTGATGGTGAGGTTGACTTAATTGGGTCATTTGATAGATTTGCTGCAAAGGAATTTGTAAATGCTGGATGATTCTTCCCTCAAACATCTCTGCCAAATATCAATCTAATGACTCTCTCAAAATCTATTGGAGATATTCTATATGAGAAGGGAGTGATCGGACATGTGACGGTAGATCTTGTTGCTTTTCCAGACCCAACTAACCCTAAGGCACATCCCTTGTTCTGGGCAGTAGACATAAACTGAAGCCTTTCTGATTATGCTTCTGCTTGCTTCCATTTCGATCTCTTAATGGAAGGAAGAATCGATAAGTTCACAGGCCAATACTTTGTAGAGGTTCAGAAAGATCCAGATGAGTTGATAGATGCAGATGCAGCTCAAGAAGCGAAAGATAAGACGAATAAGAATGAGTTCTTCGAGCCAAGGAGCTTTATGTTTTGCAAATACTTACATCATCCTGGCTTAGCAACAATCCAATTCAACACCTTCTTCCATATGTGTAGACTTGAAAGTGTCAGTTATGATATGGAGAAAAGAACAGGCTCAACTTTTTGATTATACGATTGTCTGCAAGGAGGAGTTATTGGCTTAATCACAGTAGGAGAACACCGAAAAGTTACAGTTAATTATATGGTAGAAGCACTAAATTTCATCCAAAATCAAGCTGGGGTGATCCCATCCAAAGCTATTAGCGAAGACTCTACAAGAATAGACGAAATCAACGTTGGAGATGTCTTCTCCAGAGTCGTATCCCTCGTATCTTATTTCAAAAAAGGCGGATACAAAGCTTCAAATTACTACAACAAAACCCATTATTTCTAAAAATTTGCTGTGGATCAATATTTTTCAGATTAAGAGGGGTTTTGGGGTTTTGGGGTTTTGGGGTTTTGGGGTTTTGGGG